GCTTATGTTCCCTGAAAGATGGTAAAATGTCAATGAAGATGTCAAACTTAGTATATTTGTTAATAATTACATACAACACATGGAATATGTGTGTGTGTGTGTGTGTGTGTGTGTGTGTGTGTGTGTGTGTGTGTGTTTCAAGTGAATCTGCGGCCCCCTGGTGGCCAGTACATCAATTATGTGGCCCCCACCATTAAAGTTGCCCATCCCTGAGCTAAATTGAGACGATCTCCCGTGAATGCTCCGTAATGCTACGTGTTTTTGTCTTTGTTTGCTTCCCCTGTCACGAGTTCTGATCGTTCAGTGATGATATTAATAGAATCTGGGTATGACACATTAATAAAAAAAAAGCATAATAGGGTCCCTTTAACAGTAGAGACATTATGGTCTGAAAATATTAAAAAGTATTATTTGTCCGATTATTAGACCGAGGGGTAGACCTAGGACCAGGTGGAGGGATTATATCTCTTCGCTGGCCTGGGAGCGCCTTGGGATCCCCCAGTCAGAGCTGGTTGATGTGGCCAGGGAAAAGAAAGTTTGGGGCTCTCTGCTGGAACTGCTACTCCCGCGACCCGACCACGGATAAGCGGGAGAAGATGGATGGATGGATGGAAGGATGGGATGGATGGATATTAACACAGCTGATGTGTTAGTTTTGGCAATGATTGGTTAGCTGGCCGGCTCTGTTGTGATTGGTCAACTGCTACTTTTACTTTAAATGACAAGATCTGAGTACTTCTACTTTCACTACAAGATCTGAGTACTTCTACTTTCACTACAAGATCTGACCTACTTTTACTAAATTACAAGATCTGAGTACTTCTACTTTTACTAAAGCACCAGATCTGAGTACTCCTCCCTCCTCTACCTCTAATTACACATGGATGTATAATTAGAGGTTTTACCGGCTATATAACGGGATATATAACATGATCCGGTGCCGGTTCAGAAAGTGTGTCAGTGGGTTACTTTGAGGGGAGGAGCCGGGATGTGAGGCTGTTTCTGGGTCACATGGCTTCACACCAGACCAGAAACAGCCTCTGAACAACCAGGAGCCGAGCTGCTTCTCTGCATTCAGCCTGTTTCTGTCAATGGGATGCGGAATACCTCCATTTAAACCCGACAAACACAGAGAAATCTCGAGCTGCGGTTTTATTTCCTGCAGGATTTTAGCAAAAAAACAGCATCCAGGACGAGAGACCGGCCATTTTGCTGTCGTTTCAAACTCAGATTTCTAATATCGAGTCTGTCACTGACGGGGTATTTATTTCACATTGTTTATTTTAATTGCCAGGTTTAGGTGTGGTTCATTTCAATGTTATAGCGATTTTTTTCCACCGGGATAAATCAGCGACTTCCCAGTTGCTGAACACAAACACAGAAAACACGGCTTCAGCACTGAGGTAGCACAGGAGGAGGAAAACCCCCCAGAAAATAGACAAAATAAAGGATATGGAGTCGACCAAAGCTGGTAAGTGGGATTTAATTCACATTTAAATGGAAATGGGGCTTTAAAATGGGTCATATGTGGTTATTACGGTAAATTAAAATGTAAAACCGGCTTGTATTACATTTACAAGTCTCTGTTTAAAGATTAATTATGTTAAATATGAAATAAGGTACTTGTAGTATATAAAGGTTATTGCTAGTATTGTGTTGTTATTACTGGGTCAGCACTGCAGTCCTCTGTCCTCACATGGACCTAGCAGCCTAGCCATGTGCACCTGTGTTTACGCTCCCCTTACGTCGTCTCTGATTGGCTGAGAGGCGCCGTGACGTAGCCGTTGCATAATTCCATCCGTCAGATTGTGTGACGTCTCGCCGCGGGTACACGTGAGGCCCGCGCTGACCCAGTTATCCCGGGAAAAAAAACATGTATGCACCACGTGGGGGCGTGTTTAAAAAAAAAGAAGAACGTTCATAGTGTGTGCTGCATTCAAGGACCATGGGGATAATGGGATACACGATGCTCGTTGTAGGTTATACAGTGTTATTCAGGGTCGTTGGTTGTATAATATCTCTAGAAATGACATGTTACCCAGTGTTCATGTAATGATGTATAATCTGAACTATGCCGTTGATATTAACATTGTATTTAAATGGAAATCAATTGTTTTATAATAAACAGTGTTACATTCCCTTCAAAAAACGAAAATGAATGCTTTTGAATACATTCACGACATTGACTAGAAGTTCAAGACTAATTTACTTTAAGATATCGGATTAAATTTGATCTACATGTCTCCCATTGCCTTGTGGGTGTTGCAATTGTGACATTTCCCATGGGACCTGAATGCAGCATTTCTGGATTTCTCTTTATCAAATGTCGATCAAATTAATCCGATGTTTATAATTTAAATAGTTTGTGTTAGATATCATTTAAACGAATCCAAATTAGTACTTCTCAGTAGAGGTCACTTTGTGTACACGAAATAAAATGATTTTATAATAATTGCTTTAATCTGACCTACACGTCTTCCATTGATTTGCGGGGGTTGAAATTGTGACATTTCCCATGAGACTTGAATGCAGCATTTCTGGATTCAGTTTTCCAGCTTTATCAAATTTGGATAAAATGAATACAAAACAAGAAGTATTTTGGTTATACTAATGCCAACATATTTATTGAAATGCTATATATTAATCAACACAGGAAAATACTCTTTAAAGGTAAAAAGTTGAAATATTCAAAGCTTTATTGTCAAATGCAGCGACAGCTACAATGCAGTTTTTTGTCAATGGAAATCCGAAATCCCAGGCTCCTCCTACAAAGCAACATACAGTTTAATTAAAACATAAAGAAATACAATAATTATGCAAAAATATATACCAATGCAAATGCAGGAACAAGTAACATATACTAAAAAAATTATAAAAAATATCTAAATAGTGATATAAAATAAAATAATACAATTGTAATGATTCATATTTCTACAAATCTAATCGACACATTTCGTATCCCACTTTTTTGCAAGCACTGCTATCTATTTATCGTCAATGTGTGTCTGCAAATCGTCAAAATGCCCCGTATTCAATGTCTACTGAAATGAGAGGAAGCATATATTCTGTCAGGGTAAATAAAACAGATTCAGAACTAGATTTGGCATCATTGATGGACTTTAAATGGCTGCAGGGACAGGCCTCTCCACCTGGCTCACACCCTTGTGAAGCTGACATTATATAAAGCTGTTACCTAATCTCTGTGGAAGAAATGAGGTCAGCTTGTGTGAGAGGAGAAAGCGTCTCAGTTGCTGCTTTAGTGAAGCAGATAATGGGCATTTAATTTAGGAAGTGGGCATGCAAACAGACCGAGAGGAAAGCACCACCTGCAGAAAGTAGAACACTGAGAGGAAAGGATTGAGATGTCAGAGTGCTGCAAACTGCATTTCAACTAAAAAGATCCCCTTACATGTTGTCCATCGTTGTGTCTGCAGTCCTGTAATCCTCCTGTTCCTCTCTCCTCCACCAGGGGGCGTAATAGCCTACATCAGCTCTTCCACCTCCAGCCCAGAGTCCTGCCACAGCGACTCCTCCAACGGCAGCTTCCCCTCCTCTTCCTCACCCTCCTCTTCCTCACCCACCCCCAAAATCCTGCCTGTAACCCAGAAAACCGGACGCTCCTCCTCCTCCACTTCGACCGCGAAATGTGGCATCACAAGTACGTTTGGTCTCTCTATAATGGGCACACAGAACACAGTATACAGGAAACACTCAATGTGAGTTTATATACCGCTAAATGCTACTGCAGTATTTTTGAGCTTTTTTAAAGAACATTTTAATCATCCAGAATTGTGTTTATTGTTTATATTGATTGATATACTATTTTTCATTTTCATTTAACTTACATTTCTGACTCTTTTCCACTTTTAAGTATCTGTATTTTAATGTTGAGCACACTGGTCCTGTAACAAAAATAATCTATCTATCTATCTATCTATCTATCTATCTATCTATCTATCTATCTATCTATCTATCTATCTATCTATCTATCTATCTATCTATCTATCTATCTATCTATCTATCTATCTATCTATCTATCTATCTATCTATCTATCTATCTATCTATCTATCCATCTCTCTCTCTATCTCTCTCTCTCTCTCTCTATCTATCCATCCATCCATCCATCTATCTATCTATCTATATTATCTATCTATCTATCTATCTACCATCTCTCTCTCTCTATCTATCTATCTCTCTTAATTACTGTGCTTGATTAAATGTACTTATGCCCTGTCCTCGTCACGTTTGCAGTATTTT